GGAATTCTGGGAGTTGAAGTCCACACAGCTTCAAGTTGCTGAGGTTGAGAAACACTGCTCTAATTTCTCTTCTGGGCTGGGTCTCCATTGCAAGGAAGAAATGCGACTCTCCAACAAAGAGCCCCCGGTCACTCCAACCTGCAACTTTGCAGCAGGGCTGCAGTTGCCACTCCCAGAATTTGCACCCCAATACCTCCAGCACAAAACCTGCATGTCTGATGCAGGGAAGCGGGTTTTTACAGGCCAACAAGTCTATAGCCAACATGGTGTGGGTGATCTGTGGTGCTCAGCCTGAAGCACGCACCTGGCCGGGATTGCCCTTGGGTGAAGAACCGTCTTGTAGCCACAGACTGCATTTATTTTATTTTCCAACTGCGTAGCTGTAGCTGAGACAGTATTTTCTTTTTTTAAAAAAAGAAGAACCCGTTCTGCTTACCAGGAAACAGAGGGACAGTGTCCTTCTTCCTTGACAAGCGTCAAGCTGTCTCACCGGCTGATCTCGCCAAGGAACCAGTTTCTGCTCACATTTCCTTTGCTTCATGCACACCTTTGGATTAGCCCCTGGCAGGCAGCCACCCACGGCTCAGGGTGAGAACTTAGTTGTGGGCTTCCCACCTGCTGGAAGGCAGATCCTGGGTAGCCTCGGTGCAGGCGGGGGAACGCACTGTAGGAATGTGATTTTTCTGAGTCCAAGAATATTAGACATGAGCAGGGGGTCTGCGGGGCATTCAAAAACTCAAGATAGTGGCCGTGGGAGACACCCCTGGCATGAGGCATATGAAGGAATATTTAGAGCAGTGCTTCTCAAACTTGGTGACTTTGAGGACTGACTCCCAGAATTCCCCAGCCAGAATACCCACTGCAGAGTCCTCTGGGAGTTGGAGTCCACAGATCTGGGAGTGGCCCATGTTGAGAGACCCTGATTTAGGGCCCTGCTCAATAGCTCTGCTAAACTCTTCTCCTTTCGTCTTACGTGGAACACACATTGGGAGCCCGGTTCTGCACTCTGCCCCCTTTTCATTCCTGCACGCTCATCCACCTTCACCTCAAAAGTGCTCCGTTACGGACAGGAACGCAAACGTCCACTAACAAACAAGCAAGCAAGCACAAAGTTAGCAAGAGTCTTGTTTGGATTTCCAGAGAGTGAGCGGGCAAAGCGGCCACACGGTCATTTAATTTGGTCTTTTCTCCTCCTGCCTGCCAGTGCTCCGGTGCCTCGGGATCCCTACTCGTGTGGTGACCAACTATAACTCTGCCCACGATACGAATGGCAACTTGGTCATAGAGCAGTATTTAGACGAGAACGGGAAGCTGCAGAAGGGGAACCGAGAGCTCATCTGGTGAGTGGAGGGCTGGGGGGGAAGGCCAGCACTGGGGCTCGCGGATCAGGCTGCCCACAGACGTGTGACCCCAAACGCCATTCCTTCCCCTTGGCGCTCCTTAAAGGGAAGTGGGGCCAAATTTCCTTGCCTCGAGTCCTGCAGTAACGCTTTGGCGAGTGACCGTCATCCAAGGTCCTCCTTGGGCACCTCCCGTTTATTTTTTTGAAGGGGGCGCACAGGGCAAGGATAAAAATAAGCCTTCCTGAGAGATTTGACCTGGGTAGACCTGGGTCCCCAGATAAGGGCTCCTCCTGTGCCTGTCTGCTGCTTCAAGGCTGGGGTGCAACCTGTAGGGGCCACCTGCTTCACTGCTCCTCAAACGTTGCCTTCCCCAACTGCTGATGGCTTGAGTTCAACCTTGCAACCTTGGCTAGAGCTAAAGCGGGTCCAGGGGCTGGATGGCTGAGATCTGGAAGCACAGATCTGTCCCAGATCCTGGGTTTGCTCTGCAGCTTAACGCCTTGGAGATCCAACAGATTTTCTCCCTTCACTTGTGAGAGCTGCCCTGAACTACATGTCACCCTGGAAGGAGATGAAGCGGAACCAACAGCTGCATGTGGGAAATGCTGAAACTTTTTACATCGACGGACGGCCTGTCTGCAAAGATCAGGAATCTGGAAGCATCTGTTTGGACTAATCAGCCTAAGCTTTTAACTGATTAACAAATACCAGCATGGGTCGGTTTGCGAAGGCGCTCCCAGGCACCTCCTGATTTTTGGCTACCACAGACTAATGCGGCTCTCCCCCCGCAATCCCCACCTGCAGAGGAGAGACAGCGAAGGGTCTTAAGTGCTAAAACTCGTCCTTTAGTCAGGAAGTGGGCCTTACAAGTGCCCCCACCCCATTTCAGGACCCCAGAGCTGCAGAGCTGGCATGCGCAACTCCCTCTGTCCTGTCTGCACCGCAGGCAAGAAGTGGTGACTCAGCGCCGGCTGTGACCCCCCCGTGCCCCCTCCCTCTGCACACACTCTGCTCTTCCTTTGCTTTGCCCTCCTCCCAGGGTTTTGCAGCTGCAGCCCCTGAACTCAGCCCCGTTTGCTCAAACCCGGGGCCAACGACGGCAATCTTTTCAACGGCACGCTCCCAGTCAGAATGCAGAAAAGCATTTTATTTTAAATGTCTGAATGCTAACCTACCAGTCCGTAATTCTTAACTTCTCCTTCACAAATTGTATAAGGGCTGGGGCGGATTTGCCTTCCCCCCCTAACCAATGGGGGCTCTGTTTTTAATTCACTTTTCTTTTTTTTCTTTTTTTTGCCTTTTAACTCACATCCAAGGAGGCCAGGCAGGTCTAGAAAAAGCCCGTTTCTCTTCCCAAAACACAGTTTGCCAACATGACACTTCCCTCCCAGAGGCTGGCCTTTACTCTCCCTGGTAGCGTTTGTCCTTTTCTCCGGACTTTTCTAGTTCTTTTCTAGTCCTTGGAAATAAGCACCATTGATTCTTATTTTTAAAAACCATCAGGTGGAGCAGAGAGCTTGGCCGTCCCCAAGAGAGGTCTCTGGCACTGATGTCACCTTGGGGGACCCCAGAGTTACAGCAGTTTTAACACGCCCCCCCCCCCAAGCAAGAGGCTTCCAAACTGAGCTGCGGTGGCTGCGTGACTCCTCCAGGAGTCAGCCAGTTGAGGGCCCAAATAGCTGAATCGTGAGAAACGGGGAACAGAGTGACGGGAAAGCTGGTCTTGGAGTCAATATTCAGGGAGTGGGAAATGGGAGAGAAATTCATGCTCGCATCATGACAGTCTCGCACAAATCATGCTGTGACTTGCATCATTTGCACGATGACCTCACGATGCATGGGATGTCCCATGACCCCCCCGACCCATCCAGATGCTTTTATCCTGCTTGTTTCCATTGGATCATTTACCGTCTTAATTGGGCTTGGCTGCTCCCTGGCAAGGGCTGATGAGACGTTGGTGCTTTGGGGACTTCTCCAGTTGCAGCCCGAAGCTAAGGCTCGTTCTTAACTGCGCGGGCTGGGCAATTCAAGATTTTTTTTGTCTTTATGGATACCAGAGGGGCAGCAGCAGCATTCTGCAAGCAAAGTACTTTCTGGTCTTTTCCTTGGTATCTCTGCCGAGGACACCTTGTCCTCGGCACAAAGGAGAATTTGCCGGGGAACTGGGCCTCTTATCACTGGGAGCACGTTGGACCCTTGCACGGTGTTATAACCTTTGGAGGAATGTGGAGGCGGCTCTCCTTGGAAATCCCCAATCGCTCTCTCCTCTCTCTCCTCGGCCCAGGAATTATCACTGCTGGGTGGAATCTTGGATGACCCGTCCAGTCCTTCCGAGCGGCTACGATGGCTGGCAGGTCTTGGACCCAACTCCTCAGGAAAAAAGCGATGGTAAGTGATGGAAAAATTGTGTTTCCAGTTCTACTGAAGGCTAAGAAAAGATCTTAGATGAAGGAGGCTATTACATGCCAAGCCCGGACATCTGACCTGAAGCTAGTTCTTGGTAGAAATCTATCCTATCGTCATTCTCAGATCCCCAGAAATTCCCAGGGCTGAATCTGGAGGCTTCTCTAGGATGAACATGTGCTCAGCTGCAGATCTTGAGTTGCGCTTGACCCCCTGTGGTTTCATGGACACGTCTATGTGATTGTCTTGGGAGGAAGACCAAACTGGTTCGCCACTGCCTCCCTCCAGGTGTTTTTCCATGATCCCAACCTAGCCTACAGCCCTTGTCTCTTATCCAAGTGTGAGCCATGTCCCACTCACCCTCCTTAGCTTTTGAGGCCAGGTGTGATCCATCCGGTGTCACCCCTTGCAGAGACGCAAGTCTCTGTAAGTTGAGCTCAGTGCCGGGTGACCTCTTGGACAGATCCATGCATCTTTCTTGGCGACAGTCTGGAAGTCGTTTGCTCAACTTTCCTTCAGGATTTTCTTCCTGCTACAGTCTACAGCCCTTTTATTCTCGGAGGCCTTCGCAAAGTCAGTCTTTGCATACAGAAAATTTGGGGCCCAATCTCTGTTAGAAGGATCTTGGGGGGTGGGAAGGCTTCTATCCAGCCCGAGAGAGGAAATAATGCTGAACTTGATGGGCCCCCTTAACCCCAGATGCAGCAACTTCACAAATTCATAAATCGCAGGACCTCCACCTCCATCAAGGGAGGTTGTTTTTATCGCTGGAGGTCAGATTAAATGCCTCCTGCATCCTCAGTTGCTGAATCCCACCGCCAATGGCCTTGCCGCCTGCTGAAAGCTTGTTTCACTCCACAGGCGTTTTCTGCTGCGGGCCCACTCCCGTGAGAGCCATCAAGGAGGGGGAGCTTCATCTTAAGTACGACGTGAAGTTCGTCTTTGCCGAGGTCAACGCGGATGTGGCGTACCTGATGCTCCAGGATGACATGTCCCGAAAGAAGACCATGCACCCCACCGTTGTGGGCAAGAAGATCAGCACCAAGAGTGTGGGGAAGGACACCAAAGAGGACATCACTCACAACTATAAACATCAGGAAGGTACTCAGAGCAACTTGAGGGGATGTGGAAAAATTTGGTGGGCACCCTTTAGCTCACCCTGGCAGGGAATAAATGGGCTTCTGACCCAGTACGTTTAGAGGAAGCCCAAGTATTCAGAAATGATAACGAAACTCCTGCCTCAGTGCCTTTCTTCCAAGTTCTGTGCACGCATCGTGGTGTGGCCATCTGGCGCTCTTAAGCCAGTGCAGAGTTTCTTTAGAAATGAAGCCCAGAGAGGAGGGGGTAAAGAATCGCTCCTGTCCGGGTGGGGAGAGAGGAGCCGCCCTCCAAGCCCACCAGACAGGGGCATTTTCTATGCTCTGTTGGCTTCTGTTTCTGCCGGTAGATTCAGAGGAAGAGAGGACGGCGTTTGACAAGGCGAAGCACAAGAAGGTCCACACCCCGCCGGAGGAAGGCTTGATGCTCAAGATCAAGGCTTCTGAGGCAATGAACAACGGATGCGACTTCGACGTCTTCGTTGTCATCAACAACGACACACCCACGGAGCGGCTGTGCCGGCTGAAGGTTTCTGCCGCCGCCGTGAGCTACAACGGGGCCCTGGGCCCCGAATGCGGGAGCAAAGACCTGCTCAACATCAGCCTGAAGCCACACGCAGGTAACGACCGACTTTGGCATTTCAGTCTGCAGAGCTGCTAGGCTTGCTCACCCCCTTGCTCAGGACTGTTAGTCAAGAGATGTAAAGAATATGGATTTGGCTCAGGACCTCCACTGGCCTGGGGTTCACTTGGCGCAGAGCCTTGGAAGCCCTGAGCAGCTTCGCTTGGCGTGCGAAGCAAATGGCATTTCTGCTCCGGTGCGTTTTTTTGCCTTTGGAAGCATGCGCCCAGTTGCCCAGCGCCTGACACACCAGAGGCTCACTTCCAGGTTGCAACCTTACCTCCGCCAGACATCAGGCCTGTCCTGCTCTGGCAATGCCCTTCCACATCTGCCTGATTGCAGCCAGCGTGCAGTGGGGGGCAGAGCGGAACGGCCTGGCGGCTCACTGGCCCATCCCTGGGCTCTGCCCGCCCAGAGCAGCAATGGATAAAGCACAGCCAAGCGGCAGGGCCCTCTCCTGCCAGCGGGCAGGCTCAGATGTTAGCAGCAGTTAGCCCCTTTCTGCAGGCAGATGGAGACGGTACGGAGGGGGCAGCAGCAGGTGGGTGGGAAGAGGAGGGCTTCCTGGCCCGTGGTGAAAGGAGAAGGCTGTCTTTCCCCAACACGTGCCCGGCTGTAGGAGGAAGAGGTGGAAAGTCCTACAGGCTCTGCCCCTGCAGCTGTTTTCCTTCCCCTTACATACTGTATGTAGATATGGGAAGCTACATATATGGGGGGGGGGGGGGGAAAAAGGCAAAAAATTTTTA